ACAGGAAAAAAGAGACGGACTTTCACGAACTAGGCTGCATACTCTACTCTAATTGCCCCTCTGATTTTCACTTGTGGGCCTGCCTCACTTAACCAAATCTCATTCAATCAATTGCTAACAACCCCGCAATTCCCCTGTAAAGACCCGTGTGTCTAGCATCGTTCCGGGAAAAAAAAGCACCGTTCAAATTCACGTGAGAGGTATGAAGAAACACAAGGGAAGGAATAGGACATACATCATGTACGCACGTGGTTAATTAGCTGGTCTCAGGCACATGCAAGTGCTTAGAGAACTCACAAGGAATTGCGTCCGACTTCTCGTGTATCTGAAGGATGATCGCAGAGTCTTGGTCAACATGTCAACCACGATGATGACCCATGTCTCGTCGGCATCGATCGTCAGGTAGATGACATTAGGCTCCCCCATGCTCACACGGGGCAACGTAGGGGCAACACGCGGGAGATCGCCGTAGCCCTGCTGAGTCCAGAGCTCTGAATCTTCCATGTGGCTTTCTTTCTCCCATGTCATGGATTTACCTTCCCGTCTCAACCTCCACACGTTGATGGTAAACAAAGCGGAAGCGGTGGCACGGCCGCGGGACATGAAGACGGTGGTGGTGACGACCTCGACGAACTTCATGGTGCGGCCACCATCGGTGACGCACAAGCGCCGGCACCGTCCCGGGGACACCTGGCTATGGTCAGTCAGAGTTTTGAGGCCGTACGGACAAATAGTGGGGATCTTCACCGGTAGGCTGACGTACCGTAGCTCCGGGCACTCGCTGAGGACGTCCACGAAGAAGACGCCGCGGGAATAATCAACGTAGCACAGGGAATCGCCGTAGGGAACCGTCTCATCGGACGACCAGCTGGCCAGTTCCTCACCTTGCCCCTTCTTATGGCGGATCCGCGGTTGTGTGGCCTTCCAGTTGTCCCCCGGGCTGCTGGACCGGAACACCAAGAGCGCAGCTTCCACCGGAGTGGTATCGTCATCGTCCCGGCGCCGGCCGTAGAAGTATCTGCTTTTTGGTTCAATCTTGAGCTCGGCTACCACGAATTCTTCTCCACCACCATCGCATAGGAGATCGATGTGATTAAGGCTGAACTTTCTACATAAAGTGCCGTAATCGTCGTCGTAATAATTGCGTTCGAAAGCAGGGAGGAGCCGGAGCCATGTCGGCCCGGTGGAGCTGGCAGTATACACGAACAGGTCTTTACTGTTGTAACCGCGACGGAGCTTGAGAAGGATGGAGTTGCGGTGGGCAGCGGCCACGGAGGGCAAGGGTTCCGACCTGCGATTGCCGCGAGTCCAGCGCACGTAGACAGAGGAGACCCCCGGGGGCGGTACCGCGCGGAAGGAGACGTGGATGGGCTCGCCCTTGGAGGTGATAGCGCCCGCGCTGGTCGCGTGGAAGTGGTCGTCGGGGTCGATGAGGGTGTCGGTGCCCAGCAACACCCAGTCCGGGTAGCGGTACAAGGCTGACGAGGACGAGGACGAGGCCTCGGCCTCGGAAGCTGACGACGACGCGCCGGAGCTATCCATGAGGCGGGCGGCACGAGCCGAGCTAGCGGTGGATTTGCGATCTATACTGCCGCAAAAGAAGAAGAAAAGAGGGTTTCCTTGGTTTGGGTTTGGTTGATATAAAGGTTTTCGGGACGTGATCGATGGCAACTCGATCTTCTTTAAAATAAATTAATTTTTTAGGGTAAACAATGGCCGCTTTATTTATGGGGCTGTTACGTGTCCGCCGGTGGATGAATTGAAAACATCAGCCGTCTCCTTCGGCGTTGTTGGATTGAGCCATATGTAAAAGTGGTTGAAGCGTATGCTTTCGCAGGAACTCGTTGCGTGTTATTTATAGAACGTTGGTACAAGGGCGGTAGCCAGGTTGTTGGTGGATTGATCCTCAAGCTAAGATCTATACAAGATAGAGATCAATACCAACTAACCTAAACTACCTAAAGTACAACTCACGCAACACAACTATACGTCGTCCGTACGTGGTTTATACAACACCACCACGTACACATTTACATTGTCTAACACTCCTCCTCAATCATAACTTACCAAGTTGAGATTGCTCTTGAAATCTTCCAGTTTACGCCATGATAAGGCTTTGGTAAAGCCATCTGCAACTTGATCATTGGTGGGAATGAAACGAATGTCCAATAGCTTCTTGGCTACTCTTTCTTTCACGAAGTGATAGTCCACTTCGATATGTTTTGTCCTTGCATGAAATACTGGGTTTGCTGAAAGGTAAGTGGCACCAATATTATCACACCAAAGACATGCAACTGGTGAGTGTGTCACACCTAACTCTTTTAACAGAGTTTGAACCCATATAATTTCAGCTGTGGCATTTGCTAAAGCCTTGTATTCTGCCTCAGTACTGGACCTTGATACTGTTGCTTGTTTGCGTGCACTCCAAGATATCAAGTTGGTGCAAAGAAAACAGCAAAGCCACCTGTGGACCTTCTGTCATCTGGACATCCTGCCCAATCTGCATCTGAAAATGCACTTACCAATGTAGAACTTGACTTGGAAAATTTTAGTCCAGTGCTCATGGTTCCTCTGAGATATCTGAGAATTCTTTTTACTGCAGTCCAATGTTCAAGTGTAGGAGAGTGCAAGAATTGACATACTTTATTGACAGAGAAGGATATATCAGGCCTTGTTAAAGTCAAGTACTGCAATGCACCTACCACACTTCTATAATTTGTAGAATCACGAGCTCCCAAGATTTCACCGTTTTCCTTAGAGAGCTTTTCGGATGTGGACAGAGACATATTTGACACTTTGCAATCCATCATACCAGCACGTTTTAATACATCTGATACATATTTTTCTTGAGTTAGAAGTATGCCATCCTTGACTTTCTTCACCTCTATTCCCAAGAAATAATGCAAATCACCGAGATCTTTTAAGGCAAAATCCCTTCTGAGATCTTCCAACAATGCTGTAGTTCCCTCCTGTGAAGAGCTAGCCACAATAATGTCATCGACATACACAAGCATAAAGATGGTGATCTTGCCTTTGCTATAAAAGAATAATGAAGTGTCAGCCTTCGATGGTCTGAAGCCAAGCCTTTGAAGTTTTTCACTTAACCTAGAGTACCATGCTCTAGGTGCTTGTTTCAACCCATACAAGGACTTATCAAGCTTACATACATAGTGTTGCTTGTTTTTCACCTCATACCCAGGAGGTTGTCTCATATACACTTCTTCCTCTAGAACGCCATGAAGGAACGCATTCTGCACATCCAATTGACGAAGACTCCAACCTTTTGATACTGCAATAGATAGAACAAGTCTGACAGTAGCAGCTTTAACAACTGGACTAAAGGTGTCCTCGTAGTCAATGCCATATCTTTGTTTAAAACCTTTTGCAACTAGCCTGTCTTTGTATCTATCTATTTCTCCTGTAGCTTTTCTTTTAACTCTATAAACCCATTTGCAATCAATAATATTTCTGCCCTTGGCCGGAGGAACTAAGTGCCAAGTTTTGTTTTTGATTAATGCACTATATTCCTCATCCATTGCATTTTTCCATTGTTTACTTGCAAAGGCTTCATGTAGATTATGTGGTTCTTCTGTTGTAGTAAGACCAGCAAACTTAGTTTTAGCAGACCTGACCGTACCATCTGTGCGTACTTTGGGTTTTGCAATACCATGCTCAGGACGTGTACGCCGAGTTTGTTCGGATGCAGCAACTGTTGGCGCAGAAGATCCCACAGCTGGCGCAGAAGATCCCACCAGATCTGCCGCAGAGGAGCCAGACGTGCCCGATCCGAGACGGATCTCGACAGGATCAGCGGCAGACGTGGCAGACCCAGAGATGCTGTCGAGGGCCCGCCGTTCCCCCGCGTCGAAGCGCGGTGCAGAGGTCGCCACCTGGCGACTCGGAGAGGCAGCCGTACCGCTCCTGGACCCGCCTGATCCGGAGTGCGCCTGGCTGCTCTCAGCGGGCCCGCAATTAGCATTAGCGGGCGGAGGTGTGCGCGTGGACGTGTCGCGGTCGCGCGTGGGCCGGTCGCTGTCGCGCATGGGCGAGGCGCTGTCCCCACCTGCAGGCGCGGCGGTCGAGAGATTTTGCTCGGGATCGCCGCCAGCAGAACTGTCGCTGCCAGCACCTGGATCCTCCTCATGTTCCGCGTCAGGCTGATGCTGCATAAAATCATGACGCACAACAGGATTTCCTCCAAAATTTATGGCAGGATTTGCATGAAAATTAACCGATGGATTAGCACTAAGTTCATCCCCATGATCAAGAGGCTCATTGGTGACAGAGTTTTCAGGAAGAAGAAGAACTTCTGACCTAAGGAGAGCACCGGCATTGGGATTTAGTGAGGCAAAAGGAAACACGGTTTCATCAAAGACGACGTCACGAGATATATAAACCCGTCCGGCGGCTACATCCAAACACTTGAACCCTTTATGGAGATTGCTATAACCAAGAAAAACACAACATTTGGAGCGGAATTCAAGCTTCTTAGAGTTGAATGGGCGGAGATTAGGCCAACAAGCGCACCCAAAGGTGCGGAGAGCATGATAATTTGGTTTTTCCTGGAACAATCGTTCGAGAGGTGTTTCAAGATTTATCACCTTACTGGGAGTTCTATTGATAAGATAGGTGGCAGCTATAAAGGCCTCATCCCAAAATTTTAAGGGCATGGAGGCATGTGCTAATAGTGAAAGTAGGACTTCCACAAGATGCCGATGTTTCCTTTCGGCCGACCCATTTTGCTGGTGTGCGTGAGGGCAGGAGACGTGATGAGTGATGCCAATTTGCCAAAAGAAGGAGTTTAAACGCTCGTACTCACCACCCCAATCTGTTTGCATGGTGATGATTTTACGATTAAAGCGTCATTCAACAAGGGCTTGGAATTCATGAAATATTTTGAACACTTCAGACTTATGTTTAAGAATGTAAATCCAAGTGAACTTGCTGAAATCGTCGATGAAACTCACATAATAATTCTTTCTATTAATAGAATCTCAGGAAGGCCCCCATACATTAGAAAAAACTAGCTCTAAAGGAGCATTGGAAACACTAATGGAATTCGGATAGGGGAGTTGGTGACTTTTGCCTTTTTGGCAAGCATCACATATACTCTCTTTATTCAACTCACCATTTGAAAAGGAAATTTTATTCTTCCTAAGAACATGCTGAACGATTGTTGATGAAGGGTGACCTAATCGGCTGTGCCACCTCGATGGAGAGACCTTGGTGGCACCAAACGCCTGCCTGCCCGAGCTCAAGGGTGTAGATGAGAGGGGATAGAGGCCACCCCTACATCTGCCTTGCAGGAGGGTTTTCTTCATTGCCTTGTCCTTGACAAAGAAATAGTGTGGATGAGTTTCAAGAAAGGCATGATTGTCATGAGATAAACGATGAGCAGAGATCAAGTTCTTGGTTGCTTTAGGAACATGCAATATGTCTTTGAGATGAAGATTGAGAGTGGGGGTATGACTGTAGGCTTGACCAACATGGCTAATTTTCATACCTGCGTCGTTGGGCATGTTCACTTGATCATGGCCGGAGTACTTCTCCCTCATGGTGAGCTTGTCAAGCTCACTGGTGATGTGATCTGTAGCCCCTGTGTCGATGTACCAGTTGGTGTCGACCCCGTAGGAGCTGGTGTTGGTGTTGACAGCCGCTGCGCTCTTCTCCTTGGTGAACGCGATGTCGAAGCGGCGGTAGCACTCCATAGCAACGTGATTGGGCTTGGAGCAGATCTGACAGAAGACCTCAGGGAGATCGTTGCGGCCTCCTCCTTGGCCGCGACCTCCACAGCCTTGCCCACGGCCGCCGCCTTCACCTCTGCGGCCGCCGCCTCGTCCACCCCCTCGTCCGCCACGGCCACCGCCACGAGAGACGGTGTTGGTGGAGGAGTGAGAGGACTGGTGCCCGCCGTCGAACATGGCGAGCCTATTCTCGAAGCCGACGAGGAGGGAGTAGAGCTCGTTCACCTTGATCGGCTAGGCCCTGGCGCACAGGGAGGAGATGAAGCCCATGTAGTCGAAGTCGAGGCCGGCGAGTATGTATGACACCATGTCATCGTCGGTGAGGGGCTTCCCAACAAAAGCTAGCTCGTCTCCTAGCGCCTTCATGCGGCCGATATACTCGGCGACAGTCGAGGTGCCCTTCTTGGTGTTTGACAGGGCGATCCTCGTGTTCACCACGTGCGCCTGGGTTTGGGAGATGAACATCTCCGTGATGGCAGTCGATGCTGCCGAGGCCGTGGTGCAGTGGGCAATCTGGATCATCACAGGAGGTGAGACTGAATTGAACAGAAAACACAGAACCTGGGAATCCTGCGCCCTGGCGATCTCATACGCCGGACTGGGTGCATCTGTTGGCTTGCCCACCTTGTCCATGAGCTTGGGCGCCGGCTCTTCTCTGTCGGGGTTGATGTAGGCGACGAGCTGAGCGCCGCGGATGGCAGCAATGGCTTGGGCACGCCACACCAGGAAGTTTGAGTGATGGAGGCGTTCGGCGATGGGAATGAGGGCTGGTGCAGTGGCGGCGGCGGTAGAGCTTGA